CCTCGTACACCCGGGCAACGCCGCCGGCTGGCCCCCGGCCAGAGGGGACTCCTGGCCTCCCCCTGCCACCACCATGACCCTTCACCTCCTTGCCCCTCAGCCCCGGGCTCCGGGGGGTGCCCCCACGGCGGGTGCTGGGTGCTGCAGTGTGGGCTGCGCCATAGCCAGGAGCTGCTCCGCGTCCCGTCGTTCCGACGCTGAGAGGAGCCTGCGCGGGTGGACGGGGATGGGCCAGCTCCATCCTGTCACCATGGGATCCCTTGGTGGCCTCCGTTACCTGGGATTGTCCCACCACTGGCGCCTCCCCACCACTGTCATCTCTGCCCCGGCTACTGCTGCCTTTCTCTTTCCCCCGTGGGGATTTGGGGAGCCCAGCACCCTTCTGCTGGTGCCGTGGGCCGGTGGCTTGCGGCCTGACCTGGCGGCTCCCGCCTGGCCCGGGCTGGCGAGCTGCCTCCCCGCTGACTGTGGTGCAGTCCCCCTCATCCGGCCGGGGGGAAGTCATGGCGCCACGGCCCTCCTGCTGCGCTGCTATGGACACCAGCCCCTGCTCCTCATCGGGGCCATCCCTGTCACCATGGCCCACTGTGGTGGATGCTCCTTCATCCTTGCCACCTTCTTGCCCGCTCCCGGGAGTGCGCTGGCCACTGTAACGCTCCTCAGTGGCAATCGGTGTGGGCAGTTGGCTGCCTGCCCCTGTCACGGTGGTGACGGCATCATGGCCATTGTCGTCTAGGTGCACTGTGGCAATCCCTTGCTCCCCGACATGGATGTTGGCCTTCCCAATGAAGATGTTGACTTCGTCGTCTGCCTTGGTAGGGATCTGGACGAGACCTGCCCTCTCTACCTGTGTTGCCCCTCGGGTAATGGTAACAGCGCCAGCATCTGGGATGTATGTGTATTCATCCACGCCGGCCGCGTCAACTTCCACATCCTCAGTGTTTTCAGTGATGGATGTTAAGGCAGCACCTCCTCCGACAGTGGTTTCACCATGGTCGCTTCCCCGAGCAGTGCCCAGCATGGTGACATGGCCGCTGCCCTCTTCCTCGGCCGCCGTGGCAACATCTTCTGCTGGCCCATGTCCTGTCGTCACCACCTCCCAGGCCTGCTCAGCCTCGTGGCTGTCACTGACTGCTTCTCCAGCCTGGGATTTGTTCCTCTCCCTAGCTCCCTCCAGCTCCCTGAGGCCGTCTCCTTCCCTTCTAGCGCCATCGGCACCTTCCCGGGAGCCCTCGTGCTCTCGTGGGGCTGTGACCGCATGTTGTGATAGGACCAAAATGCCACTTTCTGCCCTGTCCTGGAAATTGAAGTCACCGCTGCCCTCGGTACCAGGAGCCAGGCTAGGGTCACCGCTGTCAGCACCCGCCTCTGGGCCGGGCCAGCGTGCCTCCCCACTGCCCGCATTGACCACAGTGCTGGGCGGTCGCCCGTCCTCCACAGCGCTGCTGTTCTCGGGTCCAGCGCGCTCCGGCAGAGAGCTGTCGTTGTCCCCTCTGCGGCCAGCCCTACCATCCTCCACCAGCTTCCTTGCCACCTCCTCTTCCTCCCTGGGCTGGGGGTAGGAGATGTTGTTTTGAGCACTGGCCTCTTCCTTCTGCATGATGCAAAGATGAGAGGGTTAAATCAGGCTGAACACGTATTTTCTGCAATGTTACAAAGCGCCGACTCACAACATCCTCTCACCTGCACCTGCGTCTGATTTCGCCGTGTTGAAAATGAGTACACATATTTAAAGAATAAAAAGCCATGATTGAGATTGCAGCCTTTCATCAGTATCTAGAGAGAGAGAGAGAGAAAATAAATTTAAAAATATATATACATACATATATATACACATATAAATCTTTTCGTAAGAGCAATGGCAGGAGCTTTTTTTCTGGGGCCAAAGCTCAGGGTCCTCTCCCAGTTCAGCTCAGACCTGGGCACTGGTTAAACGTGGGAGCCCTGGGACAGGTATAGCAGCCCTTGCCTTGTGACCGATACAGCTGTTGGGGACCTCAGCAGAATCATGTTTATCAGGCCTCCTGCCTCTTGGATGTGGCTGCTCCTATTGACTGGTTTTCAGCTTCTGCTTTCTTTCAGAATTTATGGTTTCTTTGTAAGGTAGCTCATGGCTTGAACAAAAGATCTCATAAGCAACCTTGTTAAACATGATGGATGGGATCTAGAGCAACTCAAGTGCCAGAAGGCAAACAGCTGGTTTATAATAAAAAATTAAAACATTTTCTCTCATTTTATTTGGGAATATTCTGCTGAATTTTGTTACTGATTCATTTGAGAGTGATATATGTTTAAATAAAATGCAGAGTAGCTAAGACTTTTAAAGCCTCATCTGTGAGTGCAAAGAATATTTCTGCGTTGGGCATGAGAGCTTACAGATAAGATGTGCTGCCTGTATTTAGGAGCTCAACCACACCAGCATGGTCTCCTGCTGGGAAATGTTACAAAAAGAGGGAAAGGAAGACCAGCCCCCATTAGGGACCAAACCGACTGTTGAGCACAGAGAAGCTGCAGTGTTTGAAATGGCTACGTATTTCAGCATGTGCTTGCACTCCCCACCCTCTGCAGATCAACGGTTTTGCCCTGGGAAGGGCTGATTTACCCGGTGCTGGCCCATGCAGTTCTCGCTTGGCTTTCTGGAGAGTGGCGGAGGCACCTGGAGCAGGGACACAAAGGAGAGCAAAGGCATTACATATCACCTCTGTCATCTCGGCTGCTATAAATGCCCTGTACAGGTTACCTCTTCTGAAGAGGATGGTGCTGGCCTCTTTTCAGTGGTGGCCACCGACAGAACTAGAGGAAACGGCCAGAAACTGAAACACCAAAAGTTCCACGGGAACTTAAGGAAAATTTTTTTAACAGTGAGGGTGACAGAGCACTGGAACAGGCTGCCCAGAGAGGTTGTGGAGTCTTCTTCTCTGGAGAGCTCCAAAACCCGCTTGGACGCAGCCCTGTGCCATGTGCTCTAGACAACCCTGCGTGTGCAGGGGGGTTGGACTAGATGACCTCTAGAGGTCCCTTCCAGCCTTAAGCATTCTAAGAAAAGAAAAAAAGCCATTTACTGCTATCAGGTCCTTGCTCAATCTATAAACCATCCTGGTCATGCAGCCGGCAGCCCAGGGCCAGCCCCACTGCAGACCTGGCAAAACCTGCAGGTGTCCATGAGCGTCCATGCAGGCGTTTGCCAGATGGGTGACAGGTTGCAGATTACGAATTATAAATTGTACGGCATGGATTGCAGGTCTGGCGAAATGGCAAGAGTATTTAACAAGTTCTCCTCTATGCCAGTATTAGAAAAATGAATCCACAGTGATTAATATCCTTACCCTTGCTGCCCTGCTACGGACTGTGTTGTGCGAGCTTTAATTTAGGGAGGAAATGACACACACCTGGTTTCTCACCTACTTAATCCCACATGAAAATGAATTATTATAAGCGCTAGAATATAAAGACCTTTGAGTTCACAGGAAATGCAGCGCATCCAACTGCCCGCCCTACCTGTGTGGTTAACACAGGTATGCTTTCCTGCAATTCCCTTTTTGTGGAAATGCTAAGGGTGTTTCTCAGCCAAAAACCAGAAGAGCAGGAAGGAGTTTAAGGGGAAGAGCTACAGCGGTGCACAGTGGCTCTTGTGCCAAGGCCTAGCTAATTGTCCAGTTAAAGTGGCGCAGCGGATAGCTTTGGAAACCACGGGCAGAAATACTCACAGGCATTGAGAAGGCCGTGCTTGCAAGACACACGCACAAGAGGGCAACAAGCATCTTTGGTGATTCCTAGGGACACAAAGCAGGTGTTACTTGTGCCATATGTGACTGTAAAACATGTGTGTGGGAGCAGATGCAGCAGGGCCCGAGGGCTGCAAGGCTCTTGGGAAGCCTGGCCTGGGGGCAGAGCAGCCCGGGCCTGCTCACGTTTTATCCCCTGCTGCCTGCACCTAGCCTTGCTTTTCCATGGCTGGACGCTGAACCACAAGCACTATAAATAGAGGCAGTAGCTGAGTTACCTCTGCACAGATGTGACATTTGCTCTACGGAGCCTGTATGTCTCAGGCAGGACTGGGAATAAAAGGACCAAGAGCGCAAGCTCTGGTGACAGTTTTATAAAGGTCATTAAAGCTTCTTCAGCTCTGGCCCAGCAGTTCTGACTCATGCTCTTTGGTCAAAGCTCTTCTCCTGGACTTCATAATGAACACAAATAAATAATGAACACAAAGGTCTGTCGAGTAAAGAAATACAGTCATACATGGAGTGATTCATGTAGCACAAGCTTCACTTTTGTTCTCCATCTCTGAATAAGAAACTTTACTGGATCCTGACTTTCCTATATGCTGTTTTCAGCAGCAGTAATAACTGGCAGGCAACACCTACCAGTTATGTCGAGTACTAAGTCTTATTTCTTTCATCCTTCCCAGCCACAGTTTGCAGATCAAGTTGTAAAACTAGCTAATATTGCTATAGAAAATATCCAAAGGGAATCTGTACGTTATGATCACTCCACAAAGCTTTGCCATGTATCATATCCTGCTTAGCCTATATCACATAGAAAATTATACATACTACATTGTTCTCCTGGTGGCCACTTCCATTTCTGCAGTGAACCCACTCTACTATCGGAGGAAAAAATAGATTAAAAGATAAAGGGAGAGACAGGGTAAGGAAATTACCTTCTGTCGTCAGGAGGTGAGGTCCCTTGAGCGGAGTTTGGAGGCTCAGGGCCCGTTGCTGAAATTTAAAGTTGGCTATAACTCCCCGGAGCCAATCAACTCCCGCACGCAGGCATTTGTCACACCTGGAAGTGCCCACAGATAACCAGGGGGAGTAATTTTCATCTAAAAATGTGCTTGTGGTAGAAGAGAGCTATCAAATGTTCCACCCCGTCGAATAAACAGAAAGTACAGTTTATAAATATCTGTTCTGAAGCTTAAATGGCGCGATAATTTAGCATTGATCCTAGCACGGCACGCTGCCAGCTGTGTTGTTAATGAGGATGGGGGCGCAGCGAGGGGCAGGGTGTTTACTGTGATGGACGTGGGAAAAGGAAGGGCCATGGAAAGCAAACAGAGCCTGTGAAAAGGGAGAGAACAATGTATGGTGGCAAGTGCCTGTTCGCAGCACCCACCACGACCTGCGCCCTGGGGCTAAACCCAGAGCTGGCTAGGCTACACGATGCCCCTTTCGAGCTGTAAGTGCCTTGGGCAGCCAGCTTCCATCGCAGGTAGATTTCAAAGGAGCTAGAAAAAGAGAAAGGCCCAAATCAAAACTAATGGAGCTGCCAGAGGCTGCTGGGGCCGGGGCCCGGCGCAGCGCTGGGGCTCGCTGCGCAGAGCAAGGCAGCGGCCTTGGCACGGGGCCGGGGCAGGGGAGGTTTTACGCAAGCCCTACGCAGGCAGGGCCTCGTGTGCCCCATGGGAGAGGGCTGCCGGGCCCCGGGAGGCCGAGCCCCGCTGCGGCCCAGCGGCCTCCTGGCCCCACCGTGGGCACCCCCTGGGCCATCCTGATACGACCACTGGCGCTGGGGGGAAGTGAACAATAGGGCTGCCCTTTCCTGCTGCCATGCTGGGCCCTTCCCAGCCTTGGCAACTTGCTGGTCCGTGGGAAGCACCCCTGGAGGGGACAAGTGAAGGGGGTCCACAATGCACACGTGTGCGGGACTACCTGGGGCGAGGGCAGCCAGAGCACGGCTGGGGTGGAATTGAAGCGGTTTTGTAACACAGCCAGCGCTTGGCAAAGGATGTGTGTGAGAATAGCAACTCATTTTCCAGCTGGGCCTATATTAGGAGTTGAACACAGGTTGCTTTTCTGGAAGCGTGAAGGCAGCGCGGTAACTTCCCTTAACCCATCGCAGGGCTCTGCACAGCGCTCAGTGCCAGTGACCTGCTCACGAGGTTCTAGCTGTGGCCTTGCCCATAAGGCGCTACCTCCTACCTAATCCATGCCCTTGAGGAGGTCCTGGCCTCATAGCTGCAGGCCACACAGAGCAGGGAGCTCCATAAAATGGAGTGGTGACAAGGTACCAGAAACGGCAGTGAAAAGGTAGCACCTGAATTGCAAACACACAAGTCACTTCTCCCCTCACTGCGAACCTATTCGCTTCATTTGCTTTATTTTGATTTGATTTGGGAGATATAAAACCAGACGAGAGACAGTGTTCAGCGAAACCTGCTTGGCAGCCCCCTCCGGCACGCAGTAACTCTTTGAACTGGACACAAAACCGATGGACACCAGCAGCAAATGTAAGGGACCAAGTTGAGCATGTGGGGTTCTCTAGCCCAAACTCCTGCCCAGAGAACGGTGTTGGAGTGGCTGCTGGGGCGTGTGCCCTGGTGGATGCACCAAGACCAATCAAAGTGTGGTCAGCACATGGCCAAGCAGGGTGCAGGTTTCGCGTTTTGCAGGCACGGCCATATTGCTTGTTCCTGAGTGAAACCAGGGGAGGAGCAGGGTAAGGAGGGACGGGCGAGCGGAGCAGTAGCGCTGGAGGTGGGGGCTGCTGCCAGCTCCTCCCTCACTGGCTGTAGTAGTAATCTTGACCGTAAACATCATAGCCGTGCCCCTTGTAGTAGCTGTACTCATCCTCGTAGGCCCGGTAGCTGTCCCCGCGGGCGTCCCCCCCTTCATGGCCATAGTTGTAGTCGCCAGTGTGGCGCTCTATGCCGCTGACTGTCATCTCATACTCCCACTGGTCATCAGCCGCTGTGGTGGTGTCTGGGGAGCTCGTGTCTCCCGGGGTGGTTGTGGCAGAAAGCCCCTCGTTAACGGTCGTGCTGATGGCGGTTGTCGCTTCGCTTTCTTCCTCTTCCTCCTCCCCTTCCTCCTCCTCCTCTTCTTCTGCTTCCTCCTCCTCCTCCTCCTCACCAGCTGTGCCATTGCCTTCCTCTGCTGCGGCGGTGCCATTGCCATGAGTGCTCTCTCCTTCTGCGGTGGTGTTGGTGCTCGTGCCGTTAACTCCCTGCCCGTTCTCCTCTACCTCCTCCTCGTTCTCTTCCTCCTCCTCCTCCTCCTCCTCGTTCTCATCACTGTCTTCGTTTTCAGAGTCCTCACCTTTACCACCCTTGCCAGAAGATTTGCCTGTGCTGGTTCCCACCTGGCCATTGCAGTCCTGTCCCAGAAGAAAATAATTTGACATTAATGGTGCATGATGGCCTTACAGAAAATAATATGATGTTAATGGTGCACGCTGGCCTTACGGCTTGTCAAAGCCCAAGGGGCAGAGCTGTGGTGGTGCCCTGCTCCAAATCAGCTCATCTGGCATCCAGCTGGGTGTGAGAAAGACCTGCACAGGTCTGCCAGGAGCTATTATCCCCTTTGTCCCCCCAGAACAACACCCAAGGCTGGGAGCTGCTCCAGCGTCACCTTCTGTGGAGCGGCAGCGAATCCCCCAGCTCCAGCAGCAGCGTCGGTGCCGGCCCCGTCACCCACTGCGTTCTGGCCCTCATAGGTTGCGCCCTGCTGAGAAATGACAGGCTCACGTCGCACACTTCCAACAAGCGTGTGCTTAGTGCCGAAGGAAAGAAGGCTGTTTTTGCACCCACTGAGGGCCCACTGAATTGCACGGTGTAGGGAGCACCACCACGACTCTCGGACAGTGACTGTCACAGCGGCGCTGCCTGCACAGCAGTTGCTGAATACAGGGCCTTTCATCGTCTTTCCTCCCACCTCCCGCAAGGCAGAGCAAGCCGTGCCCCACGCTGCTAGCAGGATGAAACTGTGTCATTTGCCCCAATATACGGTCATGCCAGTGTGCCCTGACCCATGATTGTGCGATACGGCTTTGAAAGCTGGGCAGACTAGGGGTGCTTTTAACCCCCAAATCTGCCTCTCTCACATTTGCCTTCCAAAAGGAAACAGGAAAAAAGAGAAAAGAAGAAAATGGGAAAAGGAAAGGAGCTGAATAAAAAAAATAAAAAAGAAAAACACAAAAGGGTTTCAAATCCCGAGTGGTATCTGTGGGCAGACAGTAGTGCTGACCACAAATTGAGAGGAGTGGAGGCTAAAAAACACAGCATGTCCCCAATTTCTGCGTTGGTTTTCCAAGCTGCTGCCGGGCAGTTTGCCATGACAATGGCCACATGAGTACTTACCTCCTCGTCCTCCTCCTCAGAGCCGTCCCCTTCTTCTTCTGATGAGTCACTGCCCTGTGGAAAGGCAAAGCGAAGGCAAAGCGCTTTTCCCCGTGCTTCCAAATAATGCAGATGGCCAAAAAACCCTGGGTGCGCACCCCGGCAGCGCCTCGCTCCCTGGCACATGCGTGGTGGCAGGGATGCTTGGCAGGGGCCAGTGCTCTCCAGGCCTGGCCATAGCTGTAGGGTGCCTTAGGCTGTCGGTGTCACAAGCATGAGAGCCTCAGCCCAACAAGACTCGGCCAGGGCCTGGCCCAGCTTTGCAACCAAGAGGGTTGCGCCAGGGAGGGTGGTGCCTGTGACTGTTGAATTTAGGTGTCTCTGGAGTGGATGGGTACCCAACCACTTGGCACTTACCCGATACCGCCTCTGCGGAGGGTACGCATACGCGTACCTGTACAGATAGTACCGATGCCTGCTCTTCAAAACCTACCGGAAGAACGGGGCGAGGGGAAGAGAGAAAAAAAAAATCTCTTCAGTTTTGCTTTTGAGGACAGATAAGAGAAAAAGAAAAAAGAAAAGAAAAACTGTCCCACGGCTCCACCCTGGCGGACGGAGCCATCTGAAGCGGGCTGAACTCCTACCGCATTTTCCTCCGAGTCATCCGGCTTGACACGCCGCAGCCAGCTCTTGACCTGCAGGGGAAGGCGGGGGCTGAGTGCATGTAATGTGGGCACGGGGGCTCTGGCGCGGTGCGGGGAGCGCGGCTACTCACCGAGAACGCGCAGGCCACCCCCACGAGGCACGCCAGGACGAGCAGCGTCCGCATGGCTGCGACCGGGAGCCGGGAGCTGAGCGAGGAGACCAGAGAGGGCTCTGTCACCCCCGGGAATTAAGTCACCCGGGAATTCGATGTCAGCAAGAGGAATAAAAGAGGGAACCTCTAAAGTCTGCTGTGGGCAAACAGAGCCACGGCCAGAGCACCCATGTCTCATTGAGTAGATACTGAGGGAAGCAAACTGCAGCTTCCCCTTTCGCCAAAGCATCTCTTTCTGTCTTTGTGTCTCCAGCACAAACAATGACCAGCCCAGCCTTCCTCATGGGATGCAGCCCAAAATAAACTCTAGGCATCCATTGGAATCAGATATAGCTACCCCCTTGCAAGGCCAGGATATAAGCCTGGGGCTCGAAGCCTTGGCTGCACCACAGTTGTTATTATACCTATCCCCCTCATCTTCATGCAACTCAGAAAACAACCCGTATCAACAAGAAAACAACCCGCATTCAGTAAGACTCTGGATGTATTTCCCCTGCTTCTGAGCACTGGTTCTTTCACCAGAGAGGCAGAAGAGAAGCCGTGGCATGACACAGCCCCGCCAGCCTCCTCTCCAAGGAGGCTTCGCAGCAAGCCTCAAACCTCAACCCTTCACTCTCCTTCTGAAGCAGGAGTGGAAAAGCAGGTGCAAATAGAAAAAGGCCGCCAGCTCAAAAACCACCCTCCCTAAACACAGCAACCTTACCTGTGTGCAGTCCTCAAAGCCAGTCCAAGGAGTGAGCGGACACAGATTTCCCCCGGCCTCTGCTTGCTCACTGCCACCCTCCTGGGATATAAACTCTATTTTTGCCCCCGGGCAGCCAATCGCCGCCTCGCCTGGTGTGACGCCATCCGGCGGCCTCTCACCAGAAAACCCCCAAACTTCAACACTTCTCCAGGCCCAGATTTAGTATATAAACATAAAGCCCTGCCCCGCTGCCAAGAGGCTTGTACCATTCCACTTAATTGAAGGGCTGGCTGAAGATGAACGGGTTGGGAGGTTGAAATGTATAATAAAAGCTCTGGATCGAAATTAAAATAAATATTGAGAAATCTGTTTTAAGGGATTTGTCTACCTGCCTTTTTGGGAAATTCTGACCCTTTTTTTTCCAATAAAATAATAAAGAATCCCCCTCCCCAGCTCCCTTGTCATTCAGGCATAGACATTAACACAAAAAAGAACCAAAAAAAAGTATGCAAAAAAATATCGTAGCAAATGTCACTGTCTGCACTAAGGTCCATTTCATCTCTCTTTTGAAAGAAACAGGGATTTATCTCCAAATATCACCTTAAGACCCCTGAGTCCTGCTGGTCAGGGACACCCTGCAAAATGCCTGGCTATTTAGCTTCTCCCTGCGCCCAAATACACACCAAGTCAGGCCTAGGGATTCGTGCCCTCCGCTCACCAAATTCAGCTGTTTCTGCAGGCTGAAACGTGGCAACTTTCCATGAGTTCCCAGCAAAGCCAACTATAAGTGCTTGGGACAACATGCAAAAAATACCCTTGTGGCCACCCAAACTGCAAGGGCATGAGGACCTTCGAGGTGGAATAGAGTAGCTCTATTATAGGCTAGGTCCTCTCGCAGCTGTATGGGAATTTGGTCAGGCCACCGGGGTTCAAGTCTTGCCTCCGAGAACCGTTTGTGGGCACCTGCTCACAGCCAAGCAGGGCCTGGTCGGCGAGAGACCCTTCCACGTTTCTCCCAAGGCTTCCCGATATTCCCTGGGGGATCCCCAATTCCTAGGCCTTTCTTTCCAGGATTTCTGTTTTCTGGGGGTGGCTTTTTCGCTGAGGAAAGAGCCCATAAAAGCGGAGTGAAACTCAGCCAGGCTGTGCTCCCGTGCCCTTCTTCAAGCCGGACACAGTGCTGCTGCGTCCTCTTTCCCAGGCTTGCACTGAATTCATTCAAAAGGGTCCCTTGGATAATCCTACTTTTATTTTCTCGGCCTGTTACCGGCCGAAACAAAACGCTCAAAGGGAATTAATGGCCAAACTAATTTCGGCTCCTTTCCAGCCTCCAACCACTTCACCAACTGGAAAAAAAAAATCCTTAAAAATCCCCAAGTAAAAGGAGTCGGTGCAGAGGGAGGCTGCCCCACTGGGGACGGTCACATTTCGGCCCTGCCTCGTGCCTGGGGCAAATGGGGTTGTGCTGTAGGTCCATGCTGGCCTGGATGGTGCCAGCAGCGAGCAAACCTATGTGCCCCTCGGCAAACTCGAGGGCCGCGTTGCTGCGAGGCATCCTAATTACAAGGGACGTCCCGGGCTGGCTGCGGCATTCCCACCGGGGCCTCGGGCCAGGCAAAGCCACAAGAAGAAAGAAACAAATAAATAAATAAAAATCAAACGGTGGCTCCGCTGCCCCGGTGCCAGCGCAGCAGCCCGCGGCACAGGCAGAAACTGCGGCCTCAGCACCAGCGGCTCTGCCGCCCCTGCCAGGCACCCAGCACCCAAAACCCGCCCCGCGCGGGACCCCCTGCCCCGGCTTCTCGTGCCATGAGGGATGGGGTCCTGCAGGGAGCCGGAGCCCTCTTCCTGCTCCGCTTCAGCAAATATCATGGAGGCCGCTGGGGCTTCCTTGCTCTCTGCCTTCAGCCTGGGCTTCCCTGCATGGGAAAGCAGGGAAGCACTTGCTTAGGTTTAAGTTTACATTTAATTAGAGCCGGGCGACAGTGGGGGAGGCATTTTTTAATCTAATTAAAGGGCTGCTGCTCTAGGCTTTAAAAAAAGAACCCTGGCTCTAAAAATGCCCATTTTGCCTGAGATCCCTAAAAAGCACTGGGTCGGCTGCGGCCTATGTTTAGCTTCTGGCCTGCGAAAGCAAGCGAAGGCGACCCAGGCAAGGGCCAAAAAGCACCCAGGTCCTATGGCCCCATGTGTCTTTAGACATGAATAAATGACGTGCCAAAGGCCCACGAGCATCGCCGAGGAGCTCAGCTCCAGAGGACGCCCGCGAGGGGCTGGCGCTGCCGAAGGAAAGGCCGGAGGCAGCAGCTCCCTGCTGTGAGCTGGGCTGCCAGCTGCCTCCCACGCGGGGATCCCAAAAGGACGCGGCGCCCGATTACATCGGCCCGACCGCTCTGCCTTAGCTAGGGCAGGAGGGAGCCCAGGGTAAAAATCCGAAACGATGGGAACCAAATCTGGCCAAATTGCGTCTTTCCTCTGCCAGTGGCACATGTCTAGTATGGGGACGGCGAGGGGTGACTTGGCCCTGGAGCCTGCAACAACACAAAGCAAGGGAGGCCTTTTTTTTTTTTTTTTTAGTATGAGCTGTTTTCCCCAGGGCCCGATGCCTGAAAGGTGGTTAAAACTGGTTGTCAGCACTAAAAATGGGTGGGTTTGTGCCCAGAATTACTAGCCTGGCCAGGGACAGTGTGACAGGGTACATTTTTATTTTAATTGCCCGAGTTTTCTACGACTTAACGGTCAGAGCGTCCCTTTTTGGCCCAGGTTGACCTGGTTGCTATGTTCAATTCTAATTATTATTTTTACAGGGCAGTAAATGAGAAGAGAAGCATCGCTGGCTGGGCCCAGGCTGTGGTCAGTGATGTGACAGCCTTCAGGCACCCTCTGCCTTCTGCCGCCCTATTTCCACGCCCTGGAGCTATTCTGGAAAGAAACCTCAGCTCCAAAAATAAGCAAAGAAAACAAAAACAGAAGCGTACCCGTGAACGGCAGGAGAGACCGGTGCGCTTGCTGCAAAGGTGCTTTTTCGGAGAGGCACCAGCCCCGTTTCTTCTGTTGGAGCTGGGGGCTTTGACGTTAGCCCCCGGCTCACTGCTGTACTTAAGCAAAACCCGACTTCCTCACTTGGACTGGGAAACTACCTGCTTGCAAAGACAGTTCAAGGGAGGAAACGCCATGAAAACCAAAGCGGAACGCTCCTGCACTGCAGGAGCCAAAGCCAGAATTGAGCTAACATGCGCCAGCGTAAGCGATTAGTGCCCGTTTTGGATATACGGGTCCACTGCAAATAGTTTCCAGGATCTTTGGCCTGTTTTGCAAACGGGTCACAGAGCGATCGTAACCTCCTTATTTGCCCAATGCTTGTGTAAAGGAGGAGTAGATCAGCCATTCATCCTTTGGTGTATTTGTGTTGCTCACCAGAGACAAATTCCACGCGGAGCGCAGAAGAACGCAGGCATTTGTTTAACTTCTAGTTAAAACCCCCCTTTGCTAAAAGCTCCTGGCCAGGGGGGAAATGCAGCTTGTTCCCCCACATGCTGTTCTGAGCCGCATTCAGGCTTAAATCATTGCGATTTGCAGAGTGGATGAGGAGACCGGCAGGCACCAGCGGGAAATGACTGAGCTGGAATTTATTTTGGAGAATTGGTTATTGTGTTTATATACACAGATGGACATAAACAGATAACTAGATGTCTAAGGACGCAGTAAGTACTTTAAATTTCAAGTATGTGTCTTATCTTTGGGAAAAAAAAAAGGTAGGTTTTGAAAGTATTCAGACTATAATCTAATTTGCTTTGCAATTGAATATTCCAGCAAGATAAAAAGGCATTTCTTTCCAGCTTTGCATTTATGGGTGTTAAAACATAGAAAGCACAAATTTTGGACCACTTAGTCCTTCTGTAGCTTTCTATTGTAGGAGGTGCAGTAAATTTATCATGTTGATTATAAAGCTTTAGCTTCACTTTTAATGTGATGGTGCCCGATCACCCCAAGCACCGATGTGGGCTGGCAAACAGCAGGGCCAGCCCTGCGGCCGGCCCGGCCTCGCCGCAGCCCTCTTGGCATTGCTGCAGGGCTGCCCTGGCACGGTTCTTTCCAGGAGATTCCCGAGAGGAAAAGCCTTCCAGGCCCCATGCAATTCACTGCCTTGCAGCGTTCCCTTTGGTTACCTCGGGGCATCCACCCAGAGCGACGTCCATGCGGCGTCAGAGACCCGGCCGGGAGCTGAGCAGCAGCACCGCTTGCTGGACACGCGCGACTCCACAGCCCAGCGCCCTACCTGGAGGCACCATGCAGGAAAGAGGGCAAGAACATCAGTACTGTCACGTTCAACTACAGCGCTGCTATGGGACGTAGCCCTTTCTGCACGTGGGGCATCCAAACAGCAGGGGCTGCCAAGCCCTCGCAGCGACGCGAGGCCACCACGTCCTGGCACCACGTCCCGGCAGGAGTCACCCACCCCTGCCAGGAAGGGGCACGATTGACAGAAATAGCAAAAGCTTCCCAGGCCAGGGAGAAAAAGGTTTTGCAGGGGTGGATCTGCGCCTACAAATTAAATGCAGTTTTGCTATAAGCAGTAAAAAATTATTTAGCTTCTTTTCTGGGGCTTTAATTAGTAGCTGCGTTGCAACACCTAGCAATTGCACCACTGCCCCCAGAGGAACTTAGCACACACGGGTCCAGCCAGCACCTACCTGCTTAGCCTAGTGACATCCACTAAGGAGTTTCAACTCCACATTGCAAACATGCACAGCTATATGTTCCTGAGTTTACATAGCCCTGCTTATTCTGAGCATTTTGTCACATAAAGAGGAAAAAAATAAGAGTCTAGATAGCAATCTGTTTTTTTTTTGTTGTTGTTGTTTGTTTTTTTCTGTTGTTTTCTTAGGCAAATACTGTATTGTGCGCTTGTTGCCAGTAGGGGGGAAAACCAAAAACGCATGCAAAGAATAGGAGACTTTATCAGTGGATCTATTTGGCCACGATCCCCAGGACACCCTGAAGGTCTCTGTAATGATTTTGACAGAGCCTGATGGCAAAATGCGTTAGTCACCTGCCAAATACGTCCCAAAACGCATTTTCTTTGCGACAGCAACAGCTGGGGACGGCGCGTGGGCCCCTTGGAGCTCCCCACGGAGCATCGCGTCCTCCGTCACAGCCAGCCTCTGCCAGAGCCCAAAATACAGCGCACAAAGGAAAAGGCATTTCCCCAAAAACCCCAAATAGCCCCCAAATACCTCTAATGTCCCTCACCAGTGCCCCTATTCCTACTCCTCCACAGGCTGCGAGAGCTACTGTATCCTTTAACACTACCTGCCCCCGCTTCCCCACGTGCTCCTACTGCCCCCCAGCTCCCCACATCTCTGCCATCAGGGACGTGGCAGTGGGGAGCAGTGGGGTGCCCCTGTGAGCAGCTCCCACGCAGCTTTCCTCCTCCCCACGCTGCCTGGACCCTCATCAGCACTGCAGCCCTGGGGTGAGGGGAACGCGAGCAGGAGGTGGACACCAGGGCTCCAGGCTGGATCTAGCATCGGACTGAGGTGCTGGGCTGTGATGTGAGTGTCTCTTCACCCAAGTGCACCAGGTCCTGGCACTTACCTGCTGTCCAGGGCACCTCATGGTGGCACCTCGGCCTTTTCCCTTGCCCCAGGGTCTACCCCGTGCATGGATTTTTGACATGAGCTACTGAAGAGCAGTGGTTGGGCCCCCTGCAGCTCCCCAGGCTTGAAGACACCCCACTGGTCACAACCAGCATGCAGGGCGTCTCTGCAGAGAACTGCGGGCTCAAGGCAGCTCATGACAATTGTGGACTGCAAATAGGCAGTTCTCCACTTGGGAACAGCCTTGGAGTTTAGCTCCTGCTCACCGAAGCTTGAGCCCCAAATCAAATCCCTTGACTCTGCCAAGACAGAATAATAATGAAATCCCAAATCATGACTATTCAGTCTGATTTTTTTTAATATTAATTAAGGAAATAAACAGGATTATTTAATTTCAGCTTTGAAATACAAACGGTATCAATGCAAAAGGATACAATATAATGTTTTCTGTACATTTATTACAAAATATTACTTACATCTCATACTGAAGTGGTACTCGGTACACTGTGTAATGCAGGCTGAGCCAGTGTGCAGTGGACACGTATTGGCTGTTTTATATGCACTACACAGAGTTAATTTAAAGCTCCCTTTAGGATCTACGCAAGGGATTTGAACAAAGTGGTAAATACAAGCAGTGACCATAGGGACCCATCCTCTCAGCAATGCTCCCAGAAATGACAGAAGAGATGGAGACAGAGGCAACTCGCTGGCGTGCCATCCTCGCTGACCCTCAGCAGAGTTTGATTTCATTTGCACTGGCACCTGGATAGCTATAGTTCTGCTGTGTTCCTGGCACGCATTAACTCAGTGTGATGCTGTAAACCATCTTCTTTCCTAGTTTTAGCATTGTCATGTGTTAGGTGTTTCACTTCACATCCAGCAAGCTTCAGTTGAAAGGGTCAGCCCCTACGAACCGTTGTGCATTTTGTCCATGGCATATTCTCAGGAAGATTTCAACCTGCCTATGACGTAAATAAATTAAATTACTTCTCCCCCCTCTAGAAAAAAAGTCCAGGATAGATGAGTTTGTTGGAGTGTTTTAATACCCATCCTGGCAGTCATTATCATCGTAATCACCAATGTGCTGCTTGTGATAGACACGGAGCCTTCGTTTCCGCTTCTCGCTCTCCAGGCTCCTCGGTAAGCTGTCATCTCCATGGCTGGTGGATTCATTTGTGGCATCCTCCCTGGAGTGACTGTCCTCTTCTGCAGAGTGACTGTGCTCCTCCTCTTTGGAGTCACTGCTACGGCTCTCTGTGGATGTGCTGTCCTCATCCGTCACCTCTTCGCTCTCGTGGGAATCGGTGGTGGGATCCTCTTCGCTGCTGTCACCCTCGTGGGACGTGCTTTGGCTCTCAGTTGACTTGCTACGAGATGGTCCATCATCATCAGCAACGGAGTCAGTCCTGTCCTCTTCTGACTCCACACTGTCCTCACTGGATTTACTCTTCTCTCTGGATTCACTCTGATCCCCCTCACGTTCTGCAGATTCCCTGTCAAGTTCGGATGGTTTGCTGTTGTCCTCAGCTGATTCTCTATCTTCCTGTCCCTCTTCAGACTTGCTGCCACTGCGTTCATCTAATTTGCTGAGCACTTCTCTGGAATTTTCTTCCTGTGATTCCCTACTCGCTTCATCTGACTGGCTGACAGGTTCCTCCCTGGATTTGCTGTCTACACTTTCCGTGGAGTGGCTCTCTACATCTTCCTCGGATCTGTCAGCACTGTTTTCCTTGGATTCACTGGTAATGTGCTCTTCAGACTCGCTCTTGTCTTCGGCAGCCTGGCTGTCTTCTCTGGAGTCAGCGTCCACAGACTCGCTGTCATCATGTTGCAGGCTGTCATCCTCTTCCGAGTTGTCAGGCCCATCCGGGAGCTCTTTGCTGCGGGACTCTTCCTCCGATTGATCGCTGACCTTCAGGACGGCCTTCCCTGCCTCCCTGCTGCTTTCCTGGCTGCTCTCTTTGTAATGAAAGGCAGCACGAAGCCCTTTGGAGTTGCCCATGAAACCATCAAAGACAGATGGGTCATCACCCTGCATCTCTTCATTGTCAAAATCATACCTCTCCTCTTGGCTGCTGCTGTCACTGTCGCCTCCCCTTCTGTACGTTCCACCATACCTGCTGGCAATGTAGTTTCTGTACTCCCCGCGATCCAGGCTCCTGCTTTCACTGCTGCTGCTGCTGCTGTCATGCTGTCTTCCGCTCACCACAGTACCCCTGTGGTCACCATTTTGGTCACTGTCACCAAATGTATCGCGTTCCCCTGCTCCGTTAGGGCCAATGGTGTAAGTAGCGTCTTGGCCGTTCTCCTCTCCCTCATTGTTCTCATCAAAAGTATCATCTCCGCTGTCGTCCTCCTCATCTAACAAGTCACTTCTTTCCCTGTAGCCCCTTCTGGGGAAAAATCCAGTGGGTCTGTAGACAAGCCCATTGCCTCCAGCTTTGTAGCTGTCAGACACACGGCTTTCAGCACCATAGTGCTCCCCCTTGTCACCATTATCAGCATCGTGTGCATCCTCCTCCTCCTGTAGATGTGATAGACCAAAATTACTGTGAAGGTTTGTGTTTCACAGGCATGAAGGTTTGTATCCTTTACTACGCATGCTAAGCCTTAGTCTGACTTGTGCCAGTGCCCTTCAGAAAACCTGCCTCACTGAGGAAACGTTGCTTGAGGAATAATTTGACCCTGGATCCACTAAGCTGAAAACCTAACAGATAAAAGTTGTTGCCATCAAACACACAAGGTTGTGGTCACATTATGCCTTTTGATCTCTCAGGAACCATGAAATATATTCCCTAAAAGCTCACTAATCTAACTGGATACATAACATGAGCTATGTTAAGTGTGAATGGAGGACTGCGTGTGCCACAAATCAATTCAAAGCAGGACAGGAATTCTATTCTTTTTGAATTGCCATTTAATTATCAAAATCCTCACTTTCAATCCAAAATCCAGATCAAGCTTTTAGTTCAAGAACTCCATTCACTGAAGCAGATGAGATTTAGGGTCAGATTCTTACTCTTCTGTATTTATAGTGAGTTAAATCTCACTGCAGATATTTATACTGAATGCAGTGGAATAATCTACTAACTAGGCTTAATATGATGCAAGTAAGCAAAATCTTGTTCCCTTCCTCACAGTCCTGAGCTGAAAATAGCATCTGATCCAGTAAGAAAACACTGTCTTAAAATGAAAGGTCTGTGTTATGTATGTAACGGAACTGCATATTTACTGGGTAAGACTTCTTCCTGGCAGGCATCTGGTAGAACAAGTGTTTTATCTTTCAAGCACGTGGTCTCAGTACAGAAGAATTCAGGACACTCACCAGGAAATGCTTCTCATCCAGGCGCTGGCCAAGGCTATTCTCATGTTGGTATTCTGCCTCATCCAGGTCACCAGTGTCCTCATGATCGACCCAGTTCTTATGCTGAGCCTCCCTAATTCTGCTTCTCTTAGCACCACTGTTGCGCTTGGCAACCTCGTCACCAAAATCATTTTCATCTGCGGGATCCTGATCCTCAGAGTCCCCCACAATGTCCATCTCTCCTCTTTCTCTGCTGCCATGAGGACTTCTGTCATCTCCATCATCCAAGCCAACAAGCTCATTCATATGTTCTTCACTTGCTGTGTCCTGGATGAAAAACATAAAATATTTTTGGTTAACTAAACATTAGTGCACATTTACTAATACTACTGTAAGACAACCTACAGCTTCTAAGTTGTGTGAGCACTGAAGACCTTTCTAATTGCTTGTGACTCAACACTTGAGTTGTTTTTGACGACATAATTAAAAAATCATTAACAAAAGCAACCCATTTTATTTTGTAGCCTTTACTAAATTGAACAGATACAGCCACAGATGCCTTTTCTGACTTCTAGCACACGCACTTGGAAACCATTCTATAAGTTTTTTCCACAGAAAAAAATAAAGGATTTTTAATACCCTCTGATGAATAAATTCAATTAAAAAGAACTATCATTCTTAATTGTAGCCAGATGTTACTTAGAACTGTTATCTTAAATGTCTCTGTAGAGATATGCAAAAGCATAGCATGGTTTTGAGCCCCAAAGAGCCCCCATTATGGTGGTTTGAAGCACAGAAGTTCCATTATTTAGGACTAATGCAGGGTAAGATGTCAGATGAATTGAGGATAGAGAGAGGGAGACCAGACTTCTTCCTGTTCAGGACCAGAAAGGTCTCATTGAGCCCTGCAGCTGGAAGAAATACCAGCCTGAAGGTTGCAACACTTCAAATCCACAGAAGCAGCTGAATTGCTCTGAGCTTTGCATTGCTGCAACTGCAAGGGAGCACACTCTCTTCTGGCAGTAAAGGAGGGCCATTCAGCCAAACTGGCAGAGCTTTAAACCCAAGCAGGCTCAGGGTAAGTTCATCTCCTCAAGGAACAGGTTACTGGAGCAGCTGTGGCACACATTTATCATTTGGCAATCATCTTCCCTATTGGGGAGGTGTATGCATGCTTGCAAAATTAGCTGAAACCATTCTAAGTGCAAAAATCTCTAGATAAATGGGTGCAGCTCAGAGACCCACAGACGCCAGCAGCTCTTAAGTAACTCTTTTCTGGGTACCATTTACTGTGTCTGACACAGATGGCTTTGAAGGCTATTTCCAGTTGAAAGACTGCAGTTAACTGGCTTACCTCCTGCTCTGTGGAGCTCCTGGGATGAGCAGACAAGTGGTTGGGCACCTAAACACATTGAGGAAACAGAGTTCACGAATGAGCAGAAGTTGTATGAGGTGGCTCAATTATGTCAAAATGCTGAGGGATGGGGTTGAATATTTCTTTAATGGATACTTACAGGGTGAGCGTAGGCAAAAGTCCAGAGGAAGATTAGCAAGAAAACAGTCTTCATGTCGATTATATTTCCTGGAGCTGCAAAGAAGGGGGTACATTAGAGCGAAGTGTTTACACAGGCCCTCAGGCACATCTCAGCCTCACAAGGCATCCCAGCACCTGGAGCAGAGGGCAAAGCTTTTCCAGCCTATGTAACCTTGGCTATCGCAGCCCTCAGCGCCCAACTGGAGGCACCTTCAGAGCAGCTGAACATTTCTCCTTGTGTCATTAACTTGGCTGCCAGGATCTCCTAAACATTAATCTCCTAAACATTAATCTTAAACATTAATCCTAAACATTGAACTCTGATTAGGAGGAACTAACTTAACTGCTGCTGTCTGCAGTGGGCAGTATCTGCCACCCTGGCACACACTGCTGCAGGCTGGGTGACAGGACACTGACAGCCCCAGCCAGGACCATGGTGCCTGGGTTCAGAAGCACTAGAGATCTTCTCTTATAATCAAGAGGCATTTCTCTCTTTCATTTTACAGAGGCCCACAAGCAAACAGCCTAGCACCACAGGTGTTTTTTGCCTTAGGAAGCAGTATCGAAATCTTGATTTACAAGAGTCTCTCCTACTCCCTTCCATAAACCACCAAGAAGCCCAACCCCCAAATAACCCAAGGCAATTAGAGTCCTTACCTCGAAGGGCAGCTGAAGGCAGCTTAGCCGGGGGCGCTCGGTGCTGGTGGCAGAGCCCAGTTGACCCCTGTGCCGGGTGCCTGGGGCTGTGTGTGCCCCAGGGCTGGCGGGCAGGCATTTAAACGCTGCCTCGCTGAGGCCCGGGCCGCAGGCAGCCAATGGCACAGGCGGGAAGCGCTGCCATGTGCGGAGGCGGCGCCAGGAACCCGGCCTCTCGCACTTCCGCTCGTCTCCGCCGGCGCGTTTGCCCTAAAAAAAGCAACTTGTGGTTCCAAAATGACCAGACAGGTTCGCATTTAATGAGGGATCCTGCTAGCTCTTTATTTGGATTGCTAAATTTATTCCATTCACACACCTCCCACTTTTTACACACACAGGCAGTCACAGCGTCACCCGTGCCGGGGCCGGGTCGCAGCCCGGCTGGGGACGGCTTCCTGCTAGCAGGCGTTTGGGAGCAGACAGGCCCTAGGCTCACATTTTCCCCAGAACTGCAGGCAGGTGCTTGTGGGCACCTAAGAGCGTGTGCTCTGCTTGCCTCCCACCATAGGTGCTCTTGCTCTGTCCCCTAAAGTTGGCGATGGACAGTCCCATGCTGGCACCAACAGGGATTTGCCAGCAGCACAAGGGACCGGACCCCCAGGGACTGTCACCTTCCAAGTGTCTTCTAAAGGATGACACCTCTCCTCTGGAAAACACAGGCATCCACATATGCACATGCATGTGAACATTATGAACATGCATATAGAGATACAGGCAGGTATGTATGCCCACTTTTTACATATGTACTACTAGGTTCTTCTATGTGTTTTACTGTACAAATTATATATACTTGTATATACATATATGGGCACAGCACATGTATCCTTTCCCCAAGTAGCACCTGCATGCTCTTGATGTTGGGCAGACCATCTGAACAGCACTTCAGCACATGCTTGTAAAGAAAGTTAGTTTCAGAGGGGGCTAACTGAAGATCATCTCTATACACCCGAAAACCACATATATGCAAACACGTATGTGCGCAGATGCACATTCCTATATATATGTGCATATACAGGCACACACGCTGATCAAGGACTCGAACACATCTCCACGTGCACTGATATGACAGCATCAGCACACACCTGCCATACGCTCCGGTCCTTCTGTCTTTGATGACAAGGGCAGGGCTCTGAGGAAAGCAGCTCCCTCTGTGCGTGGCCTCAAGGAGGACCACTTCCTTGCCTTTATTTGGCCATTGCTAAATCTGCCATGTTGGCTAATTCTACTAATAACAGCACAGTGAACGTGCAGGTATTTTCTTTTCAAGTGGGGGGCACGTCACCATTCTGCAAGTTTTTCTTTCTTTTTTTTTTTTTTTTTTAAAAAAAGGAGTCTTTCTGTACAGTCCCCCAGGACAACCTCCCCACGGCCACACTGCAGGTGACGAATGTTGTCGGACCCCGAGGGGAAATCCTGCAGCAGGCCCAAGGTAAACAGCCCAGCCTGAGCTGCTGACCACAGCTTTGCCAGGCTTCCTTCATGAGCGGAAGAGGAAGGCAACTACGTGTGTTTTATCACGAGGAAACGTGTACACGGCCTGAGCAGTGGGCACCGGGCACTCCTGCTCTCGCACAAGTGTTTGCGCTTCCCCTTTACACCAGAAAAAGGTATTTTTGTTTCCCTGGGCAGAAGAAAGAGGCCTTTGCACCAGGGTTGTGGTGTTGCAGCCCTGGATGCCAGCCCTGCTCCAGGAGCTCTTTGGCAGGCTAGCAGCAGCACCAAGCGAAAACCCTTCCAGCACCGCTCGGGCACTGCAACCCAACAGCTCACAGGACTACAACATCATGCTGCAAAGCCCAAAGCAAATCAAAATCAAGTGCTGCTTAATGTCTTAAGCTATGGCTTAATCCTCACCTCTGCTTTTACCCAAGTTTCTGTAAGTCGCTCTGTATCTCAGTGCCAAGTGAGTTCTTCCATGCAGACGTTGGAGCCTGCCTTGAGTCCATGCAAACTTGTAGCACTCGCAACATCCCCTTAATGCAGGAATCTAGGTGCAAACACAAGTGCAAGATCAGCCAGAAAAGACAAGGAGCATGAAGGGGCAGACGTGTCCTGCCCTTCTCATTGCTCTAAGGCATTTTACTAAAGGAAAAGGCCTCTGAACAAGCAAGTACCTCCAAAGGGGCGTCATATTTTTAGCCTTTCATGCTCATGCGAGGCAGAGCAGGACTTGGCAATACAAAATCCTTCTGGGATTTGGATGTTAGCAGTGTCTTTGGTCTCCATGCTCCGAAGAGCGAGTTCTTAAGGACCACCTCCATAAAGCAGCCTCCTTGCACCACATCAAAGGTTCCATAAAGGTGCTTGGAAAACCTTTCTGCTGATAAATATTGCCACCTACTCATATCAGTTCCCATACACAAAAAGCCTGGCGTCTTGCTGCCTCCCTCAGTCACTACATATTTTCTTTAATTCTGGTCTCTCAAATCCTTATTAATCCACATTAATCCTTCTTTTTGCATCTTCTTTCTGTCCTGTACCCCAATCTGATTCCTAGGTTCATTGCCTTCATTCTACCTCATTTTTCCTTGCTGTCTTCTGCTTTCTCCCTTTTTTCCTCCTTCCTCTCTTTCTCTACCATCACCCAGAGTGGCACCAATACCTTTCTCTGCTATTCCAGTGGTCTCCCTAAAGCCCACTGCTGTGGGCAGAACAACCCCCTGTAGTTTGACAAGTCCTCTATCAAGCCATATACTGTCAAACACAGCTCTTGGGCAGTTACTTTCCCTCCTCTTCCTTATCTGTCTATTGCTGTAGATACCGTGGGATGTATTTTCCTCTCAACCCGAGACAAAATTATACCCCTGTCTTTTGCCAGATATGAGTTCATGTTACAAACCTTTTTTTAGGTGCCTTAAACAATAACAGTGTTTTTTTGTTTTAAATTGAACCTGCATTTAACTCAGCCTCCAAAGACCTGATGTTGCTTTTGTCAAAATGTTGCTCTTGGACAAAGGGAAAAACACGGAGTTTTGCCCATCACAAAATACAACACGTACCCATCCTTTTTATAACAGCCAGCTCGCCCCGGGTGCCTTCAGGAGGTCACTGACTGCAGTCGTATCAGATCGTGCAGCAGTTGCCACCTCCACCCTGCTCGAGGTTGGGGTGAAGGCTTCCAAACAGGCCTCCCTCACCCCGGACTGCCGGCAGCACTCGGGCAACTGGGCCACCAAGCAGCATGTGCCCCTGGACCCTGCTTGAACCCAAAGCCAAGGGTAACACGTCGGTGAGCATCTAGAGTGTAAGAGCAGCTTACATGAGGTAAATCTTGCCAGAAATATAGTTTATATAGATGAGCTTCTAGGAAAGTGAATGGCTCCTTAAACATGGACTATTTTCACTCGTCCAGTTTTGCACTCCTACTGGAGATGACATGGACTCTCTCAGACATACAGGATCAGCACAGTTTCCTTCCCCTCTGCTACCTGCTATTTTTCAGTTTGAAAGGGTTGCAATAAAAGGGCACACACCATCTCACCATGCTCACGTTCAGCTCAGCATGATGGGTGCCATGCCCTGCATGTTTTCTCCCAGGACTGGAATTTTAAATTATAGCCAGGGCACTGCAGCACCAGGTCCCCTAGAGGAAAATAATTAACTCCAGTAATCCTGAGTTGGAAGACCAAAGTCTCTTCACCAAAAACATTTCTCGAATCGCCTCTAACATAACAGAATTGGGGTCAATTTGCAACCTGGAAGAAAATGGGCTAAATTAACAAAATTTTAACACACTCATTACAAAGCACTAGGGACAAGAGAGCCCAACCAATACATTATAACTTTATATCAAACAACCAAAACAGGAATATTTAAGAGGAGCAATTTAGTGTATAGTAAGGTTTGGGAACCTGGTCCAAAGCTACTCAAATCACTGGATTCCTGGTTGTGAGCCTTTAATTTTTAACTCACAGCATGAGGTTACTTGTGAATTTTTTTGACTGACCTCTAGTGGCAAAAAATGACCAGCAATTAAAAGGGCTTTCTAAAAATTAATGAGATGATTAAAATGGATGGCTCTGCTTTGTCATAATCAGAGATAAACCTGTCTTGACTGTTGAACTCAAGTCAGCACCAGTATTTGGTCTTGAACCCAAATCCACTGAAGGGATTTGGAAATATTCAATAGATTTCTTTGAGCTTATGGCCATCTCAAGGGGTTTTTATTTGCTGCCCTGCCAAGGATGCATTTTTAAGGTGCTTTTGGCAATATTTGGTAATAGTGCCAAAAAGGAGCAAATTTGCTTGAATCAGATCTGTGGATTTGTTGTTAGTCGGAGGAAAAAAGCATGTTACTGGTTGTGCCAGGCACTCATGGATAGAGGCACATGCTCTTTGCTCACCTTCGTGCTGTTGCTGTGTC